GGCAGGTGGCTCCATTTGATTTCCGATTTAAAGGGGAGGCTTAGATGGCCAAGAAGAAAAAGGCTAATAAGAAAAATATTAAACTGCAGTGTGTGTGTCCCCAGGGACTTCCTGTTGCCATGACTGACCTCCCGGAGAGCGCCATTCGTTCCCGAGCATGGCAGCTTTATAGGCACTTGTAGGCCTGCAAAGAACACCAATTTGCTGCTGCAGTTTGTTTTGATAACTGAAACTTTCAATAAATCTATATTAAAATCAAAGGGAAAATTAACTAGGCCCCAGTGAGGGGCACGGAGATAAGGGAGCACATTACCACCCTGGCCTCAGCCACCCCACATCCATCTCTTAGTTCAGATTCAGGTCACCAGAGAGATGAATGGCTCAGGCTCTTGGGGAACAGCCCTGGGGAAAGCAGGGCAGAGAAGGCATGGCCAGGTCTGGCTCCCACTGCTCCTGCAGCGGAGACCGTGGGGGGCAGGGTGTGGGGGGTGACAAGGGGGGGTGGTGGTGGTCATGGTGGGAAGAGGAGTTGGACAGAGGCATGGGGGACGGGTGAGAATAATAGTAATAACAGCCAATATTTACTGAACTCTTTATGCTGGATGCTATGCTAAGCATGTTTGTATTTAATTCTAATAAGTAGATACTAGTATTATTTCCACTCCAGAGAGGAAGAAACAGAGCCTCAGAAAGGTATGTGGCTTGCCTAAGGTCACAGATGGAGTCAGGACCCCAATCTGAACAGGGTGTCTCTGAGCTCACACTCCTCTTAAGTGCACGATGCTGTCTTACGTAGCTTACGGGGACTGTGAACGGCAGAAGCAATTTTCCCAGTTCTTAGATAAAATGGTTTTAGACCCAGTCTGGGTTCTCTCAGCTGTGCCAAGTTTGGCGGCTGTCATGCCTGCACTGTCCTTGGGTCCTGGATTCTCTGCCCTTCCACTGCTGGTTAAGGTCCCAGCTTTGCTGGCCATCTTGCTGTTTTCCCTTGTGGTTTCAGAGGGCAGCAGAACCAACTTGGCCCTCTCTTTAATTCCTGCTGTGTTCACTTTAGCTCAGTCACTTAATCCATCAGCCAGGAAGCTGCCCGAGGTTTATCTGTGTCTGTGTACTGGATTCAGTTCATCTGCCTCCAAAGATTCACTTGCCCCAACTGTACCCTCACCCCGGGCCTTGGCCACTTGTTTTTTGGACAGCCCAGCTGCCATTACTGTCATTTCATTTACTAACACATCTGGTTGTTTTAGCCTCCTCAGGAGAGTTTTGACAGAGCCTCCAATGTGCCCACTGTGGTGGGATTGCAATGGGCCTAATTTGACCAAACCAGGGGCTATGACTCCTCTCATCATTTCTAGTCTCAGATGAACCACTGTGCTATAGGGTGTGGGATCTGGCACCCCCTGTGGCTACCGGAGTGGTGGGGTAATACAACCTCCCTTTCCCCTTACAAAGTGATGGTTCTACATGGCTTCAATGACTAGTTGTGTTTGAAGCTCCAGGCAACTTTATAATACACAACCTTATATTTTCTTCCTTTTCTTCTTTGCCTCACTTCTCTTTGCCTCCTCAACTCTTGCCACCCTGGGATTATATTTCCCAATGAAATTTTACCACATAAGCTTTACCTCAGGCTCTGTTTTCTGGGAAATAAGAAAACAGGGAATCACCACAGAGCCAAAGGCTTGAGGGAGCCAAATGTTGGGTTAGGCAACAGTGTAAGGCACCGAGAATATACTGATCTCTTAAACTGTTCTATTATTTGAATACATTTGGCCTGGTCTTTGTCCAAAAAGAGCTTATATATAATACAGTCCGGTGAGGTCCTGGAAGCTATAGGGGTGAGCTCTAGAGCACGAAGGAGGAAAGAGCACTTTCTGGGGAAGTTAAGGGCTCTGTGGAAGGCTCCATGGAGGATATTGGTGCTAGGCCTTAAAGGAAGCATCCAATCCAGACAGTGTAGGTTGACTTCATTCTTACAGCCAAGAAGGTTGGTTGTACCCTATTCTTACACCAGACTCAGGACATATGAAAGCCAGGGACAGGAGAGACCATCTCAGAGCCTCTCATTTGTCTAATTTTTTTTTTTTTAAGATTTTATTTATTTATTTTACAGAGAGAGACACAGCGAGAGAGGGAACACAAGCAGGGGGAGTGGGAGAGGGAGAAGCAGGCTTCCCGCAGAGCAGGGAGCCTGATGCGGGGCTCAGTCCCAGGACCCTGGGATCATGACCTGAGCCGAAGGCAGACACTTAACGACTGAGCCACCCAGGTGCCCCTCATTTGTCTAACTTAATTTATCTATTTACTTGTTTGTTTATTGTCTGTTCTGCATCTACCTGCCCCTCCCCAATATAAAGTCTTCTCAAGGATACAGGTTTTTTTTTTTCAATTTTTTTTTTTTTATTCTTATGTTAATCCCCATACATTACATCATTAGTTCTAGATGAAGTGTTCCATGATTCATTGTTCGTGCTCAAGGATACAGGTTTTGTGTGCCTTATTCACCAATGAATCTTAGCATCAAAAACAGTTGCCGACATCTAGCAGAGGCACTATAAATGTATGTTGACTGACTAATCAACTGGGATTAATGTCCAGATGACATTAACGGGAGGAGGAAGACCCAATTCCAGCCCCAAGAATCAGATAGGAAGATGTGCCTCCACTTTACTGACTTAGGGTTAAGTGACATCTGTCCCTGCTGATGTTTATTTCCTCGTTTGTCCACAAACATTTACCAGATTCCTGCTTTATTTGTGGAACTGTGCTGGGTATTACTGATATACCATGAACAATACAGAAATATTGCTTACCTTAAATGAATTTACAGCCCTGGGGGAGAGACAAGGAAATAGACAATTATAAAACAATGCAATAAATTCTGTAGGTGCAGAGTAGAATCACCTAGTCCATTATGCGGGATTAAGGAAGACATTCCCTAATATGGGTATTACCAGCCATTCCCAGCTCAGGCAGGAACCAGTATGTTAAGGTCAGATCTCACAGAAATGGTGGGCGCAGAAGTGACATCATTTTCTTATGTGAAAATATGCAAACGGCAGACAGAGGCTTGGTGACCAAAGCTGGGCCCAGAAGATGGTTCCTGGCTCACTGGGAAGCTGTCAAAGCCATCACTGATTTGGCCAAGGCCAGGGTTTCCCACCTCAGAACGTGTTACCCATGACTTCCCAAAGAGCCACAAACCAGATGAAGAAACACATCTCTGGCTTTAGCCAGACTTCTCTCCAGATGACAGAATAGACTGCGGTAGCTCCCTATAGTTGAGGCCAGAATCCTTTCAACTCTGACGTTCCCTCTGGAGCCAACCCAAACAAGTCAGTTCCCTCTTCTGTAGGAATGCCCTTCAGAAATCTAAGAATTTTCTTCTTAGCCTAAAATCTGCCTCCTTTCAGCTCTCCCCAGGCCCACCTCCGAGAGTGGATGATAATAATGACTTGTTGAAGAAACAAATCATGAGAAGTTATCTAAATATAACACGTCATGTTATGAGCCTATACTCACCTCATGAGTATATTGGGAGGTGGGAAAACGGAAGTGGGGGACCTGAGTCGCTCTAGGCCTTAAAAAGTTTTCGTTATTTAAAATATTCCTTTCCCAGGTCGGAAGGGAGCTCCCCCTTCACTTTCTTCTGAGTACGTGCCACCTCAAAACTACAAGTCCCAGAAGGCCAGCCGAGGGGAGTCACCATCTTGACACACCTTAGCGCGCATGTCGGCGGGAGAGCGAGCATTTGGGGAGAAGAAGCCCCGCCCCCCTGCAGCCCATTGGTCGGAGAAGCAAGCGGCGGGCTCAGCGGTTGGCCACCGAGCCCGCCCGTCAGTCGCGTCGGCCGGGGTCAGAGTGCGCGGAGGTGAGTCGGTGTGTTGTGGACTCGTGGTGCTGGCTGCCGCTGTTGAGGCGGCCGGGAACGGGCGGTGGGGAGCGGGCGGAGCTGGCCTTGCCTCTGCTTGGCCGGCGCCGCAGTCGGCGCGGGCCGCGCCCGCCGCCGTAAACTGCCCTGAGCGCCTGCTGAGGCCGAGGGAGACGTCGGGGCCTGCACCTGGAGGGAGCCTGCCGCGCTGGCCCCGAGGAGGGGGCGTTGCCATGGCGACAGCCTCTCCCGCCGCTGACGGGGGGCGGGGGCGGCCCTGGGAAGGAGGGCTGGTCTCCTGGCCCCCTGCCCCTCCCCTTACTCTCCCCTGGACTTGGATGGGCCCGAGTTGGGGGCAACACCCTGGGGTGGGTGATGCGGAGAGGCCCCCAGATTGGGCCCTGGTTAATGCATGCGGGGTGAGGGTCGCGGCGCGCAGTTTGTGCAGTCTGGGGTGCTAGCCCATGTGCTCACCCTGGATGCATGATCTACTGAGTAACGTTCTGGCAGAGGGAGCGGGCAGGGCTTTGCCAGACGGACTGGGTGGGGTGATTAAGGGTGCTGACTTTTTACTTGGGATTATACTAGGTAAGAGGAAGAGAGGTTTGAGCACAGTGGATAGAAACTCAGCAAAGAGGTAGTAGATAGAATAACCCCATTCTTCCCTCTCCAGCACACACACGAGGTTAGCACTTTAACTCTTTGTAAATCTGTAGCAGTGGTAGTAGTGATGGTGGAAGGAGTGAATAACGGGCCTAACCTAGCTAGCTTTCTGTTTGCTTTTCCTGCAAATGTTCCAGCAACAGGTGTTCTCTTAAAACAAAAAAGCATGAACTTGGATTGAGGTGTGACTGCGAGTTCTTGCATAATGTAACTTCTCCTGGTTGACTTGGAAGATGCTGCATGTGGCTCCTTCCTGGGGGTTTGAATTCTGCCCTTAGGGTTGGATTTTGCAAACTGATAATGCCCATCGTTGTCTCTGCTATAGGTCTCTGGCCACCTCTATGGGATTAGCTCTTACCAGACATTTTATCATACTCCGAGCTGAAGGGCAAAAAACCACGAATCCCATTGGCTGAAGAGTGTACACTATTTGAACTATATAGTAGGTTGTGATTGGCTGAATGATTTTTGATTGTAGCGTTTCTACCAGAAATTGGCTTCATCAAATTCTGCTTTATTCTGACTTTATCATACATGGCATGCCTTGTTTTAGTGGGTTCGTTCCTGGAGCTTAAGTATATTATACCTGAATCCCCCACCATTTAAAAGCCAATTTATAAACAGGGACTTGGAGTGTGACTCCACTAATGTGTGTGTCTGTGGTCTTGGTTAGAAACCCACTTGGCTGCCTTTCGTCAGAGAGGTAGGGTGTGGGGGAAGGGAGCTGCCGGGAAGTGATTGATAAGGTTTCCTTTATGGATTCTGTGGTGCTTCACTGGAGCTCAGAGCACTTTGGCAACTTAAGCACTCCAAATTAAAAGCTCATTAACAATTCCTGCCCAAAGATCCTGTAAATAATCAGCTAGCTAGGTCCTAGAGCTTGGCTGAGAGCTCTCCTTCCAACTTGAAATTTCCAAATAAAAGTGCCTTTATTCCTTTTCATTTTGAAAAGTGTTTTCTTGGTGGTGGGGTAAGTCTGTGAGTGGTCTTTCCCAGGGGATCTGAGTAGCATAAAGTCTTAAATGTGTAGAGTGGTAGACAGGAATAGATTGGTTCCAAACCTAAGTGTTTCTCTGTGCAAAGGGCATTGCTAGCTTACAAGAGCACCTCTGCAACTTCTAGTCTTTTGGAAAATCTGAATTAGGTGATAAATATGATAGGTGTCCATTAATGATTTGACTTAGGGTTTGGTTACACTTTGACTTTCTTAGGACTTGAGATAGACCTGGAAGTATACTGCAGGTGTTTAATGGTCTAGTATGGCCTGTGGGTTTGTGGCAACCAGCCCCTCCCCCAATCCTGGTCTTAGTTCCTGAGTTCTGAATATTGTCAACCTTACCAGTGTCTCCTCCTTGACTAAACTAGGATTCTAGTGTTATCCCGAGAGACACCATTTCATGACCATCTTTCTTAGTCCAAGCTCAGATATTATAAATGTTTAGTGTTTCTAGGAGATAACCTCCTTAGGAAGAAAAGTATGCTACTAGAGAACATGAAATCCATCATTCCAAAAATATATAGTACTAGTAGCTTCTGAAAGCTCTGTTCAGGCATTGTTCTTCCACATAGATAACTTATCCCAAAGTAGTTTGAGTTTAGGAGTTTGAGGTTTGGTGTGGTCCTTAAATTGTTTCAAATAGCAGCAGTCCGGGATTTGATCCTTTATACTGAAATAGACTTGTTGCAGAGATGTGTATTTATCCACAGCATTGGGGCTTTCCAGCTCTCACAGAACCTTCAGCATCCCCAGCTGGCAGTCTTGGCATCTTCGAAGTAAGGAGAGGTGAGAATCTTGTTGCATGGTCAAGTTTGGCTCGACTTCTTTCTTATGAATATTTGGGTTTGGAGGGTGAGGGGGTGGTGGTTGGTGCAGATTGTATATTTCTGTAGCTTTTTCTGATTAGACACCATGTGCTCAAAGACTACTGAATGGGGAGAATTAGAGGTGGGGTATCTATACTCTCAAGTTCTGTCGTGATTTCTCTGTGGGCATTGCATGAGCACCTACTTTAGGTTCAGGAAGGTTGAATAGAGCTGGAGTAGTCCTTCATCCTGAGAAATACACAGCTTAAGATAATAGGAAGGAACACATTGGTTTGGCTTTTGATAATGCATTTGACCAAGACCTTTGGGATCTTGGTTTGATTTGGGTTGGGAATCACTGTTGGGTGGATGGTGAATCCCAGCCTGTCTCCATTTTACAAGGATCAGGGCTGCCTGAAAAGGCAGACTCTGATGATTAATATCTAGGATCTCAGAGGCTGTTTAGTAACCAAGGGCCAGATACTTTGCTAGGACTGGAATTGCAGTGGTGAACAAGGCAGGTGTTGTCTCTGATGCCACAGGGCTTACAAATTCAGGGGAGAGAGAGGTAGTAAAGAAGCAGTTCTGATACACTCTGGGAGTGCTAGAAGGTAAGTTTAGGTGTTTTGGGAGTACTCAGAAGGGTCCGCAACCCAGACTTGTAGGCTCCTCATCTAGAATTAAATGAAGACATGAGGGACCAAGTGTGAAGGTCAGAGTTTTGTTGAGTTTGAGAAACTGAAGTTCACTGTGTTAAAACAGTGTACTCAGTGGGCAGGGGATTGGAGAATATAGTGAGAAGCGAAGCAGGAAAAGTAAGCAGAGGCCAAGGCCTTATAAGCTCTTAGGATTAGGTTAGACTAGATCTTTTTTCTGTAAAGGATCAGATAGTAACTATTTAGGCTTTGTGGGTCTCTGTCACAACTGTTCAACTCCATTCAACTCTGCTGTTACAGCATGAAGGCAGCCATAGTATGAAAATGAATGAGCATGGCTATGTTCGAGTAGAACTTTATAAAAAACCAGTGGCAGCTGGATTTGGCCTGTGGAACATAGTTGCCAACACCTGGACCAGACTATCATAAGAGCAGTAAGAAGCCATTAAATGGTTTTAACCTGTGGACTGATAATTAGATTTGTGTTTTAGAACATTTGTTTTGATTTCAGTGTTAAGGGACTGAAGGGGACAATACTGGAGGCAGAGACCAGTTAAGGAGCCTGTGACATTTGCATGGGTAGCATTTTATAGTTAACCCTTTGAGGCAGTATTTTGACCCTTAAAAATTGAGCATAACTGAATTTTTGCATAATGTATATACTGGTTATGTTTATTAATTTCCTGGCCATCGACTAGAGCTTAAAGCATGTCTACCAAAGAATTTGTTGGTAATACCAGCTCCTATTTTACATACTAGAAAAGATGTAGGAAGGGAAAGTAGGTGTAGAATGAATGAAAAGGTTTGGGGAACTCTTCTAATCAAAGAAGTAGAGAATAAATGGAGCCCTGGTAGGGATGTTGGCCTTAGGGCTCATAGCTTAATGTCAATTACTTTAAACTTTTTGAACTATACAAACAAAGAAGGACCCATTTTCCTAAGTTTTCCAGGGAATTGTCCTCATTCTGTTACGTGTCCTACTCAGTCAAACTTTCCTTGCTTGTAGCAACCTGATGACCTTTTTTCTGGCTTGGGGACTGTCTCCTGGTTCAGGTATGATGGTATATGCCAGGCACAGGAGCCAAAGTGTTCAATAAATTGTCTTCCTCCTCCTACAAGCCTACTTGCATTGCTGGAGGGAAGCCTGTAGGTTTCTGATAACTTACATTATGGTGTTTATGTAACCTCAGGCGAGTGACTTAGCTCTCTGAGCTTTACTTTCCCATCTGTAAAATGCAGATAATGGGACTTAAAGATAAGGGTTGATTAATGGATTTAATGAGATAATGTATGTAAAGCTCTTAGCACAGGGGTTTAATAACTTTTGTTTACTAATAGTATTTTACACAGTTAATAATTTTTTTAAAAAGCAGCCCACAATTGGGTGAGTTGGCCTTTGGCTTAGTATGTTTTGGGTCCTCACAGTTGTCATTATGGCCATATGATAGGAACATAACCACTGGTGGTGAGAGCCAGTAGACAGAAGGAAGTTACAATTAACGGAAGGGGCCACTCTTCATAATGGAAAATTTTCAGACATCAGGAGTCCAGAAAATCAGGACTTTCTTCAGGGTAGACCTTAGCCCCAATACCATCAGTGAAGTGAATTGAGTGAGCAGCTACCCGAAAGAAATTCACCAGAGTGTGACCAGTCATTTCTCCCAGTTGGTCAGGGTCATTTATTGTGTTGCCACCCTTGTGGCCCTACATCTTCGTAAAGTCCTCTTGAATGTTTTTTTATTACTTTTTACCACCACTCTGGGAATGAGTCAGGTGGTCAGTATTACTGTCCCTGCTTACCCCTGTGAGGAAACTGAGGCCCGCGAAGGTTAAGTGTGTTGCCTGAGGTCATGCTGTGAGGTACTGTCAGAGCTAGTGCAGATTTGCCTCCAGATGAAATTGTGTCAGTTTATTGCTGTGATTTCTCTTCCTTCGAGTGAGAGATGTGTAGTCATTGCAGAACTGCAGACTGATGCATGCTTTGTCCAAATGTGCTAGGAGTGATTTGGGTCCCACTTTATCCACTTGGTCCTGTTGGGTTTTAATTGATGACTGCTTGGACCAGGGAAGCAGATTCCCTTTGGGTCATTGTTTTTAGCCCCTCCTCCTTTGGGGACATTCTTGGGGGAGCCTTGGGTTACAAGAGATTGCTTTGATATGTTCAAAATTGTGCCTTGTGCCCCACAGCTACAGGTAAAATCAAAAGGCAGATAATTTATGGGAGTGTCAGAGCTGGCCGCTGGCACCTCAGGAGGCCATTAGTATGCCTGTTCAGACCCTCTGTGTCCTTGCAATTGATTCCTCTTTGCATGAGCTTGATTTGGGAAGCTGTAGATCTGTGGGTAGTGATTGGATGTGACAGTCCAAACACCGGTCCCTAAATTAATCCTTTTAATAGTATTCCAGCACCAAGGCAATGTGGTGTCTCTCTCTGTCTTTAACTGGGGAGGACAGAATGGGGTGGGCTAGGAAGGAGAGAGGAAAAAAAAGAAGCTTTGCTTGGTGCTTAGGGTCTGTTCTGTTCTAACATGTTCTGATTCCAGAGCAGTTGACATCAGGACTTCGGGCATATTCATTCAGCAAACAGTGATTCACACTAACTTTGTACCTGGCCCTGTGCTGGGTGCTAGAAATACAGAAATGAATAAAATGTGGTCCTTGCCCTTAGGGATCTGTGTGAACCTCAGTGTTTCTCAGAGTTTTTAAACTCATGCGCTATTTAGGTGAAAAAATTAAACTGATGCTTTTCTTTAGTGCTACTTGAAATTTTAAAATGCATTAAAGGGTCTGACAAAAAACAAGTCAAAGAAATTATGCCTTTTTTACACGCACACGCACACATACTTATACCTGCTATCTTACAGCCTTCTCACCTAAGGCTCTGAAAATTATAGTAGGAAAAATAGATTAAAATTTTACAATATAGTGAGACAAAAAGTTATGAAATAGGAATAGAGTGTGTTACTGGATCACACTTAAGCAATTAACTTTCTGATGGAGTATCAGAGAAAGCTACTAAAAGGGAATTTTGAGCTGCATTTTGAAGAAGGAGCTGGTGAAAATGGAAATAACATTCCAAAGCAGGGGGAGTAGCATTTGCCAAGGCACAGATTTGTAAAAGGAAACATCCCATTTGGGGACCTGAGCAAGAGCTAGTCGTCACCCTGCCTCCTGCCAGTTTCTCTGCTCCTGTGGAATTGTGTTTGAGAAGAGGCTTTGAGTTTCTTGTGCTGCAGTTGTTTTCGTCCAAGGCACCCCTTCCTTCTTCTGCTTTTTGGTACCCAGGACTGCAGTTTGTTTTTCTTGTTAAAATGTGATAAATGTATTATGAGAACAAATTTGGATGATTTGGACAGACTTGATCGTTGCTTATGGTTGAGTTACTTTCAGTAAAAGGCGAAAGATTTATGCGTTTTGAAGAGAAACCGGAATATGGTTGAGTTACTTTTAAAGTCACCACCTTACCTCAAAGGAAAAACTGAAGTTGATATGTATTTTTAGCCCTTTGGTGGGGAATGTGGGCCCTCAAACATGGGAGAGGAGAACAGGGCCCCGAAGAACTGAGGACATCTGAGGCTTAGTTTTCTCATGTGTAAAATGGGATTATTGTTCCCCATTTTGCTTGAGAGTTAGGAGGATAAAATATGTGGATCACTAATACAGTACCTGGCTTATAATTGTGTTTCCCTCTCCTCTTTCATGCATTAACAACAGTAGCTCCCTTCTGTTGAGTGCTTAAACTGTACAAAGTGCTTTATATACATTGTGTGGTTGACCTGAACCCCAAAGAGATAGGTATTATTATTATAGTTGTTATTATTGAGAAAATGTGGTGGAAGGGCTGGCTCAGTCGGTAGAGTATGCAACTCTTAATCTTGGGGTCATGAGTTCAAGCCCCATGTTGGGTGTGGAGCCTACTTAAAAAAAAAAAAAGAATGTGTGGTAGAGTCAGGATTTGAACCTAGACTTGTCTGATTCTAGTGTTTAAACATGTGGGCTGTGCTTCTATACCAGTTCCATCTTGGAAGCAGGGGAATGGCAGGTTCTTGGTATCTCTCCTCTGGGGTCAGATGCTGTCTACAAGTGTGAGAGGTACTTAAAGGGATCAGAGTACCATACTCTGCCCCTCCTTCATTTCTATCCTATTTATGGTGTGTTAGAAACAAACTTTTGCCCCCTCTCACGTGCGATGGGTGTCACAACTGACTTCTAGGACTTTGCAAAGAGATGTCTCCCAGCTTTGGCCCCTCGAAGGAATTTGCCCAAACTACTGCATGTAGTGGTAAGTTAGCAAACAGCAGGCCAATCACAGTCACTTCTTTTT